AGGTTGATTGTTTCGGTAGGGTGGTAGGTGGGTGGGTCGAGGTGGGCCGTTCTCTCCCCGCCTCCCCCACACACCTGTTCCACCCAGGAACGTTATGTTTGTGATCGTTGATCGAGTGTGCGTCATAGATACGAATGAACTAACCCGGAGTCAACTGACCTCTGTCGGCACGGTAAGGAAGCGAATCACACCAAGATGGATCGATAAGTCGGTCACCATGCCCAGACGTGAATGTGAACATGATTCTTTGTATGAGTGGAGTCAGTCTAAGCCCACAATAACCCAATGAGTAAATTCTATTGAGACCGAGTTTCTCTCGAATAAAACCGATTCCTTTGAATCAAATGCGACTGCTTACGTATTTCTGACATTGAAATGCACACTTCACAAGAAACTTGCATGTTGAATATTATATATATATATATATATATATAACGACTACACTGCAAATAGGTCGTAGAGAAATCAGCGTGTGAACTTTGCGAAGCCTCTTTTGGAGATCGTTACTTAGAAGAACTCATGAAATCAAACCACTGACAACTGTGTGACTAATGTACACGCAGTTTCCATGGTCAATGAACGTTCCTTCAATGCAAGCTCTATTGTTGAAAACCAAAGATTAGAGTCGATGGAGTTACAGTTAGTGGAGCCACCAGAAATTCAAGTATCTGAGTTACGACGAGATTCTAGAAGAAAACATGAATACATTTGGACCATGATAGAGAGCTATACATAAACAGATGAACTTTTATCTGAAAAATGGCCCCAGAGATAAGCCTTATGGCACTTTCGAAGCGAAGCTTGATAAAAAAGACCCTATCTTGTTCTCAAAGAAATATCGTAATAAATAAAAACAGACATCAAAAGTTAACAAGTCTAATCAATATGGTCCCAAGTCACAGTCACAACCTAAGTCACGTATCCAGGCCCAAGTTGAGTGACTTGTCACAAGTGTCCTTAAGCGGACACACGTTTGGCCTTCATCTACTGTATGAAAGGACGACGGCTTGCCTGATTGACTGTTAGGGTTTGTCCAATGGGCACCTGCGCACAGAAGTCTGTATGCGACAACACCAAACTATCTGACATTGCCCTTATCACTGAGACTATTTGTTATGCAGTGTAGCCGTCAATTCCTGAACAAGAATGCATGCTACTGTCGTGTCCTCGGTTGGAGTTGGCGAAAAGAAACACGGAAAGTATTTCAGCATGTTTATGCATTAAGTCAGGGAATCCAAAATCCCTCTGGAAAAAGGTAAACAGAAAATTAACAATCATTCAACTAGAAAGCGATCGCTTTGTTTACATTAACCGATGACGGACCCGCACGCACTAGCGCAGCCATGAACCATTTGTTCCATCACACATCATTTGTTTCTCCGATCGATAGGTGACACTGCCCACCCGGTCAAACAATCAGTTATCGATATGCTGCGATTCACTTCACCTAGTCACACTTCAACCACACTATGCAATCGATAACCATCTCCATGTGGTCATGCTTTCTTGTGCATGCTGTATGAGATGTTGACTGCTGGCTCACCGGGAAGAAAGTTCCAAGGTTTTTCGTGGTTTATTCGCATATAAGAATTGGACAACCAGAGTAATGGACGGGAGTAATCCTAAGACCTGTGCGCCAACACAACACACTATAGAGTTAGGTTCAAACTACCCCACAAAACTGAAACCCGATTTGTGCCCCTTGAAACTTCCATCTCCAGTGCACGGTTGCATTGTACCCTATTGGATTCCCTCTGTTTGCTTGAAGATAACCTAGCGGTAATGATTAGCGGAGACTTTTCAGAAGAGACCTAACTTTACCACATCAATTTGAAACGGGTTAGGACCAATCGCCACTGTGGGAGAGTGCCAGTGTTCTCTCAATGGTACTGGACCCGTGGAATCCAAGGTAAAAACAGAGAATATAGCAATCTCGTTTGTCCATTCCCTCCATTAGTGCTCTAGTATTTTCCATCCTAGAAAAATTTAAACTGTGCGCAACACTATAGACATAGTATGGTTCACCAATTGTCAAAGCACTTTTTGGCGCCACAAACAGACACCCGCACTTTGAAATGGCTTTTG